TCTGAGGTATGCCAAAATGCCAAAACATCTGTGTGGTTGGGGAAGGTTAGGGTTAACAAAAGGGACTTCGAGTATTTAAATTCTAATCAGTATTCAGTATGGAAATGAGAGGGAAAAAACCAATATCTGATCAGGATGTTGATTGATTACTCTTCAGGTCAACCTGCCTGAATTAAAAGTCATTTTGCTGGCTTCTGGCTTTAGTGCGATTCAATGTGCCTGCGCACAAACTAAGTGAGCATTTCATTTCCTATTTTATTTCTTATTGTATACATAACTCAACTCAACTTCTCAAGTTTACATTATTTGCAGACGATACGAATATATTCTACAGTGGTAAAAACTTAAATGAAGTCGTTGATCTGATGAACTGTGAGTTAACTAATGTTTTTGAGTAGTTCTTGAGCGACAAATTATCCTTGAATTTTAAGAAAGCTCACTCGATGGTTTCTATGAACAGAAACATTAGGATTCATCTTAAAGATAATCTTATTGAAAATGCAACTTCCTGTAAATTTTTGGGTGTTATTATTGATGACAAGTTAATATGGATACTTCATTGCCAGAAAGTCCATTCACTAATTTATGGAAATCTTGGTATTCACAGGAAACTCAGTTCTTTTCTCACTTCTGGTATTCTTTTTTTGATTTATAATACCTGATCTTTGCCTCATCTTCTTGGGAAAATACTTATAAACTATCCTTGACAAACTGTTTGTGATTCAGAAGAAATCCTTAAGGCTGATTAATGGTTCTGATGTAAGAGATCACTGCACCCCATTTGCTAAATTTCACATTTCACATTTCATCTGTTTACGATTTACATGTATATATATAAATATCATTTATGTGATTTTTATGTATACATTTGAAAAAAAAATGTGACCTCCGAATATCAAATCTCATTTTACTAAGAATGCCAATATTCACAATTATAACACTAGATCATCAAGCGAGCTCCATCTCTACTCCTCTCAACTCTTACATACCAGGGACCCTTCCTCTGGAACCAAATCAGGACTGGTTGTCCAACAACATCAATTGCAACATGTAAAAGGTACATGTATTGTGACGGTTAGTGACAGTGACAATTAAGGGCAAAATAATGTCAAAGTTGCAATTAGAGTAGTAAACTAAGGACTGGGATGGTTATTGTGTATTAATTTATTGAGCTTAGTGAAGAAGACCTTCACACTAATGTAATCAATGTTTGACCCTAAGAAATGTGTAAATTACATGTATTCTCCATCAGGAGGCACACCCAGTACCAGCTTGGCTTTTTGTCTGACCTCCTCCATACTATTACGTGTATATGTCATTTTGCAAACTCTTGTATTATCCAACTTATATTTGGTATGAAAATAAACCTGAAACCTGAGCGGTTCAAACATAAGTGACTGAAGGATGTGATTTTATTAACAGGCTGTTGTTTTGATAACATTACCACAACCTATGCACAAAGCATTTTTGTGTGAGATGGTTGGGTATAATTAAAAGGAGGGCTCATGCAAAAAGCTGCCAGTGGCTGTGGAGAGTCAAAAAAGGGAAATGAACCATATACGCCACTGGTTAAGAACCTTAAGACAATTCCATTAAATGCAGGGTGTATAATTACTAATCCACACAGCACAGCAAAAACACAGACTAAGTAATAAAATCTAGGGTGTCTCAGGGTGTCTCAGTTGCATTGTAACAACAACTTTCGTTTCATTTGAAACAATGAAATAAATTCCACCACAAAGAGATGCAAACCAACATTTTCTATCAAGGTTTTTGCTGGGTATTTCCCTGTTTTGACCCTTTTTTAACCACAGGAGTGTTGTCAACTGCAACTTACTGCTACGCATGGGTTGTTGTCCCTGTCAGTCCATTTCTTGGCGCTAGTCTTGGGGCCATGCTCCTGAAATTGCTTCTTCCCAAACTTGTTTTCATTGCCTCCTTCTCCCATGCTGATGGTTTCCCTTTCACTGATTTGTGCAAGACACCCCTTGAAAAATCACAAATTGATTTCATTGTCAAATAAATTATATTTTATGAAACAGACAAGCTGGTTTCATAATTAATGAAAAATGAGCCAGAAACTAACAGGAGTAGGATTGGGATACTGCAACCTGAGAAACAGAATGTGCCTGTATTATCAAGTCAGCTACCGAGCCCTATGAAGTGCAGTTTACAGAAAAAGGGGAGAGGGGAAGGCATAGGACACAAGAGTGGCACATTGTATAAAATAAACCAGTTGACAGCATAAAAGGGGATCTGCAGCTGCTATAATGAATAAGTACAGTACATGTACATGTAAGTGGTTTCTCTCATCTGTCAATTGGGTTGTTCAGAAGCTGTTAACTTTGACATATAATCAGTGGTGGCAAAGGCAAACATTAGCAGGGCAAATGCAGCTTCACTCAAGCCTCATCCCAAGGTGCTCTAATCTTGACGTGATGCATCACTTGTCTGACAGATTCACTGGATTTAGAAAGCCAATGTCATTTTACTGCAAATTTCTATCTGTTTAGACTATTGAGTAGTAATTAGTTTTTACACCTAATTGCAAAGCAGAGAGACTGCTTCAATACATTGTTCACTCTAACCTACATGTATACATACACTCCAGCAACAAGGGCATTACAATGAACACATGTATGTACATGCACCTGAACAATGTACAATATCAATATTACCCTAAACTTTAAATTTTGAAGTTAGTGAGAACTGGCAAAAATTGAAATGGGTGGGGGTTCCATGGCTTTTTTAAAACCCTAAAACAGCTGGGGGGAGATCCACGTTTCCTTGACTTTTTTCCCCCAATGTCGTTGCAGTGCATTTTTTCACAAGCTGAGCCTTCAGGACTTTTCGGTAACTCTTCATGGTCATTTTGACACCAATTTTGTTGAAATCAAACATACTGTACATGTACCGACAGATCAGTCAAAATTACATATTTTCCCCAGCGGTGCTAAATGCATGTGGGCTGGCATACATGTGTCCTTGAACTTCAAATGACCAAAACAACAAAACTATGTCAGATTGAATTGAAACCTTCACATCTGTACTGAAAAGGAGTGCTTCTACATTAAGAAGTTGAAAAGAAAATTGGGATGGCCAAGTTCTTTCAGGGGGAGAAACTGCCTCCCCCTTCCCCCTCCTGACTGTGAGATGATCCACCATAATCTGGCTCTTTTAGGGTTTTGGACTTTTATTTCTTATCACTTTACCATCCATGGACAACTTTTTTCCATCAAAACACTGCTGCACAAGTTAAAATATGCCAGATTTAAATGTACCTGTAATATTCAAAATGATAAACTTGGCATTGCTTGGAGGCAAGATTTTTGTTTTTAAACATGATGGAAGACAAACCTTGATGAGCTGCTAGGCTCCTTCTGTAGGTTGGAAAACACACAGTGATATGCAGTCAAACTTCATGTACACGTAAGAGGTTGATGTCCTTTTGACTTTGCAGATTAGCTTGTTATGACAGGAACATATTACCAGGAAAAACATTGGGACCTAAAGACTTCCTTGTCATAAGCAGAATGTTGTATAAACAGTGCCCTTATTAATGAGGTTCGACTGTAGGAAGTACACTTAAGGACTTCTACACAAAAAAAAAATCCCCCAAATAAATCTTACCTGTACATGTACATGTATGAATACACGCTCAATCCCACAAGTTCTGTTGTTCACATCAAGCACTTGGAAATGTACTTGTTAATTCTGATGGTCTTGGCAGCCAGTGCAGACTGACACTGGGAGACCCTTTTTTGCAAGTCTTTCGACTTAACTATAATAACTCAAACTCCTGCACAAACATGGTCACTTGGTCTAATCATAATTTTTATGACGAAGGACGAAGGCAAAATTCAACATTCAGTAACTCAAGGTTTACTTTGAAGTTTTATTTTATCAGGTTTTACAGAGTTGTTAGGGATCGCACTGGGCACCTGTTCAATTTTAGAGCTAACTGTAATGCCTCACCTGTACATATAGTCATGGAGGTAGGCCCTACCTCCATGATATAGTATCAGTCTATTGGTTAGGATGATGCAATTACAAACGGTGTATATTATGCCCTTGCTACGTTCTCAATTGACCTGCACTTGATAGCCATGTCATGACCCAAGTACATGTACATAGCTGGGATTGGGATATAGGCCTACGAACGCCAGTAACATTACAATAACATATCAAGAAAAGTTCAACTTAAAAGGAAAATACCAAGTCGTTTACTTTTAAAACACTTCAATTTCAGACCAGTGTTTGTGCACAAGGATAGTATGCCAAACCACGGAGCTAGGAAAAGAATTAAGAACGGTGTCCGAACTTTCCGTCCATGGAGGCCAAGCCTACCTCAGCTCCATGCTCCGACCAACCGGTCTTCCAGTTGCGGGTTATTTCTTATTCTAGTTCGTTCGTTCACTTTTCTGCACTTACCTACGAGAAGGTACTGAGGGAAACGCTAGTTATTGAAGTAAGGGTTTGCGAGGATATACCCTCGGACGGAGGTCATATTCATTAGCAGTACTGTATCACGATGTACACTGTACGTGTATACTGTACAGTACATGTACATGTAGAAGGCAAAGATTGCACCAGTCTCGGCTTCATCTGTTTTTATTTTACCACCTTACTCTGAGCTTGCTAGCCCTGAAGTGAGTCCAATAGTGCCTTAAAAATATCAAATCAGATTCAATGGAGCAAAATTTTACAGCATTGTTATTCTAGTCTGAATATTTCAGGGATACAATCGGAGATTGATTTTGGAGACGAATCTGAGACGCGGAAGATGTCGTCTATTGAAAAACGGGCCAAGGCTCGATAAATGCAATGACATCGACAATCTAGGGGGGGGTTCAAATTAAGGCTTTCTCTATCTTCCATGTGGTATCTTTCCCGTCACCATGCTATCACACGCTTTGTCTCTGTTGAATCTGATTGTCATCCTGTCATATTAGAACCAACTGGAAAAATGGCATTACTGTTATTCTGTAATGGAAATCTCAACTTTTTCCAGCAAAGAATAATTTTCTTTTAAATTAGCTAAATACTAAAAATTGGGGTGGTGGAAGAGCCATCTAGTAGATCTGTGGAAAGGCCAAATAAAAAAAAAACCTCAAAATTATGCGTGGAAGAGGGCGCTTTATACAACTAGTATGCCGGTGGCTAGCCGTGCCGGTACTGCGGTAGATCTAGATGATGTGGTAAAACATTGTGACAACTCGATGAAAATGGAGGGTCTGTCTCGTAGTTCTAACTTCAAATTGAAGGCAAGCCTGCTCTACCTGATTTCATCTCTTTAGTGTATATGTAGATGTCAAAGTCGGAAACTCGGACCGGCTGACAGCTCTGTGATCGAGCGGTGATGTGAAGACATTTGCACCGACATGACTGACTAGAACTTAAACTTAAGTCCCATCCGAGGAAGCTTGTGGTTTTTTCACAAGCTTTCTGAGAAGCTCCGAGTATAGGCCCACCCTTCCTCGTTGGCCTACCATAGGGCCATAGCGCTAACAAGTTATTCAAGCATATTTATGCAAAAACATTTTTGGAAAGAGTTCCAATCAACTTCCATTTATGCGGACGCCACTTCACCCCGTGGCCGTAAACCCCTTTGAGAATGGTCCAAAAAGTAACTTCCTACTATACAACTAGAACTAGGCCTGGGTCCAACGTACGGAGCTCTGGAAGTGCCATCCGACTTGCCGATATTTTTTTTTCTCGGGATGACGACATAATGAAGGCAAGATGTTGACATCTTAAGTTGAGATATTTTATTACGCGATGATGATATTGAAAGAGTTGAATGATTACATTCTCAGATAATGACGATAATCATTGGCTCAGGATCATCCAGAGATATCCACCAAGTGTGATGTCCACATGTACTTCACTACTTGCTTGTAACAGGTGGTGAGACATGACACGTCAGTCCAATTAATATCATGTAGGGCAACAGGAGGACAATGCACTGGAAAACACTACCATCTCAGGCCACCTGTTTTCAAGGTGGTTTGTCACTGCACCCATTGACAAATAATGTCATCACTTTTACGATGTCGTCATCCCATGATAAAGTAACTCAGGATGTGGTCATCCAACTTTTAGGATATCGTCATCTCATGATTAATTATCTCGGGATGTTGTCATCTCCATTCCAGGATGTCTTCATCCTGCAATAAAACATCTCATGATGTCACCATAGTGCCTGTAATATGTCGTTATCCTGAAATAAAATATCAGGATCTCAACAAGTAGGATGGCACTTCTAGAGCTCAGTACTAACGTTAAGTGTTTCCAAGTTATTTAAGTAAACGATTAAGTATTTTCCCTCCCTAAATTAAACTTTTCTAGACAGGTTGTTGCTTGCTGTGGTTATTGGCTATTAAGTCAGTGACTTGCGTCCATATATGGAACTCTTCCCAAATGGTTATTTACAAAATTAATTAGGACAGAGTTTAACATTTGATGTCCCTGTGTACAAACCTGTGAGACTTGTCTGAAAAAGCCCAAGTGTTTTCGAAATAAATGTTTGGGAATTTATTTAGTTACATTTCACTTTTGAGGCCGTGCGTTATCACATTTTAATGGCTTGTAGGCCAATTACAAAAGTTTCTCATCCGTTTTTTCATGAAAGAGGAGGTGGTGGTACTTTTTACTTTTTATTTTTCACAATGGCTGAAACTTTAGATTTTGGGCAATCCTTGGTTCAACAAAATGTTTGTATAATGAACGAAATTGTGTTTACACTACACCCTTTGTTTCCACGCTTTGTTTCTTGTGTTCTTTAATTTAGAACAGAAGAATATGTTTTAGAACAGACTCTTACAGGCTCTATTAAAAGTGAACGGTAGCTACGCCAGCAACGCGATGTAGAAAGTTACCAAGAGAGTCTGAACAGAGATGCGAAGGATTGGCACAGTCGTCACATAAGTGATTTCTGATGGATTGTTGGGGAATTTTTTTTAATTTTTAAAGACAAAATAAAAAAGGGCACACAGGTCCAAAAAGGAAGTGGGCAGGGACGAGAAACATTTTAAAATTTTACTTCACCTTATAAAATTTTAAGGGAAAATTAGTGTTTTCCATATACATATGGAACTCTTTCCACCCGACCACCCGCCATCTTGTTTTTGTGTAGACGGCAGAGAAAAGAAAGATGGTGGCCCCATACATGTACATCGCGAAAAATTTTCCTGCAAGAATCTGGAAGCAAATTCGGTATTTCTCTTACACAGTGGCAGGTGTTAGAATCTCTAAAATATGATGAAACCACTTTGAAATCTTTGTTAGAGGGCATTTTCAAGTTGTTGATGCTTTGTTGACACTACTTATATTGTTTGTTGACGTTAACCCCTTTGTGCCTGGAGGTGGCTAGACATTCCGTAAAAATTGAGATCCTCAGCCCGCTTTTCAGCTGTCATTCTCGGCCCACGCTCAAGCAACACAGTGAAAGAAGGCAGACCCTGGCTCTTGTATACATGGTAATTGGTCTTTGGGCGTAGCCCAGAAATGAAAAACCCGAATTTGCATCATAATCACCAGCTTCACAATAGTCCCCACTTTGAAAAGAGGCAATGGGAATGTGGAAAGGTGAGTAGAGCTGCATGCCACCGAACAATCAGCCTTTTCACTGTGTTATTCAAAGTGTGCAAAGCATGCAGGGCCACAAACGGGGAATTTTCGGTTTGGCAGGTGGCATTTGTGCTCAAGCGTGGCTGGAATTCTTGGAGTGGGCTTTCAGGAAGAAATTCCCGTCGTCAAGGGTTAAATAGCATGACCACAGTATACAGTGTCATGAAGATACACCTGTACATGTATACACGTAGGTATAAACGCATAGGAAAGGGTTTTACATCATTACCCCTATGCAGTTGTGTAAGGTCGGTCGGGGTAAGGGCAAAACCCATAACGTGACTTGGAGTACATGTACATGTTGGCTACAAGTGGCCACCCAACATTTTTCATTCAGAAAAGATTTTGTTAAAAAAATGTGCATGATGTACATGTATGATCTAACAGTGTGCTCACTGCAGTGTCGTCAAGCCATTGCATATTCTCACAGCCTTGGCTAATTAGGGGTGGCCTTTCTAAATTAAACTTTCTGTCAACCAATTAGCAACAATCTACGTTCAACTTCCCTGTCACCGTCATCAGTGTCAGTGTACATTTTATAAACATATACATGTACCTGTATGTGCATTTGTGGCTCCGTATGGTCACTATCCTTTTTTTGCTCACAAAAATCAAAGCCCTCCTCTCAAAAAAAAAAAGAGTCTTGCAGATATTCAACATGGTCCCATCATCATTTAATTTGATGTGTCAAGTTACAAGTTGATCTTTGTCCTCTTATAGAAGCGGCGTCCATTTACATTATGTCTGCAAATCCCTCATGGCTAGATTAAAGGATTTCGCCTTTGAAAACTGATTTTATATGTGTACCTATGTGTAGGTGTACATCTGTACGGCTACATGTACGTAGTACAGACTCGAATGTTTTTAATAGTAAGACAAAATTATGTTTGATTCCTCACATTTTCACAGTTATCCAAGTTGATTGAGGCCGAGCCAGAGAGAGACAAGCTCTATCAGTGCTTGAGAGATTACCAGCTGTAAGTACATTTTTGCGCATGTTTTTTTAATATACATGTAAGTCTCTGTTATCTGACTAATCCATGCATTGTAACACATAGCACTGCCACACCACAGAAATGGAAAGTTCCGTTCTGTGGGTTAATGGATTGCTCAATTTTCCTTCTATTCTTGGTCACAAGAAATATCTGAACTTGGAAGTGATGCATGAAGCTATTCTGACAGGAATTTTTTCTATGATATATTCAGGTGATGTTGTGATTTTTTATTAGAAGTTCTTCAGGAATTGTATTCATAAAAAGGTGATTTTGTTCATATACCAGTACTGGTGCCCAACGTTTCAGGCTAATTGTTAAAAAGTAATTTGCTTTGGGCCCATTGTGCTATTGGTGTCTTTATGTTAGTGTGATCTTCCTTCTACGTGTACATGTATATACATACATGTAATTACCTGTACTTTAGTGAAACCACCAAGTTCATCCTGCAATACAACATTTATCACAGTACATGGAAATATTACCGTATTATTATTAGATATTAGCATTATGCTCACATCATCAACTTGGGATGGCACAGTGTCTTTACGTAGACATAAATGTACCAGTGCTTGCAACTTTGTTTTGTTTGGCATTTTTTGGTTGCACAGAACCCATGAGATACAAGATTTTGTAGACGCATTGAAGTCTGTGATTGTTCATCCTGACAGTCTGGCTTTGTTTGAGGATGTGCGTTCATTCATTCAGCCTTCCCAACAAATTCTTTACAGTCAGCTCATCCCTCCAATGCCAAGGTAACTGACAAGGTTAATACAAAAGGTTAACCAATTTCATCAGGCTCATATTTGTATGGAATACTGCTGGATAAAGTAATATGGTTAGGCTAATGAACTGGCCCATGAAATCTGACATCATTTGACACATTCCGGTTTGGACTCAATGCTGATGCAGTAAGTCCAAGCTGGAGAACTTCACAGCTGTTTGTTGTTGCTTTCTGCACAGTGTTGCTTACTCTAAAACATTGGACAAGGAAGCAAAGTGTCAATTTTAAAGCATTCAGTTGAGATGTACGTATGTGTACCAGGAAGATCTGCGCACCACAGAAATTGGATGCAAAGATTGTTTTTGTAACCCCTTGCAAATAAAGATAATAACAAACATCACATACACTCACATATATGTGCAGGTATACATACGGTATTGGTGACAAATGTGTGATATCTAGATGAGAAAAATAGTTTTTTGTAAAAATAGGACGCCGAGCGACTTTCGTACATCGTCATATGGCACTGTCCAAACATCGGTCTGTAAGCACATACATGTAGTTTGCCAAATAAACAGAACAGAATGGTATTATGGTGTCTGGAAGTTCTTACTCTGGGCTTCTAATGAAGAAATATTGTATGATGGATGTGGATTGACTCAGATTTCCTTGGATTGCAAACTGTAAATTTTGACAGTCACGCTCGTAACTGCTGTACCAACACGAAGACACAACAAAGGTCCTGACCTCATCCTTGTTCCCTGTTGTAGGAAACGTTTCATGTGCATGTTGCCCATACATACTGGGTACGAGGCTGTGTTTATGTGGTTTTACTGGAACACACCAGCAAGTGTAGGCTTGATGCGGTACACAGCGCATGCTTGTAATGAACATGACGCGATTGCAATTGCGGTGAGAAAAGTCTGCAAATTTACAGATGGATTTTTTAATCGATTGGAGCAACTGGGCAAACTAAAACTTTTGGCAGTGATAGAGCAGCATCAGCGTGCACACTCGTAACCACTCAGGACACCATGTTATGAATGTTACCATAAACTAAGATGACTTTACAAAATACACGATCTGTCAGTAATTCAACTGAACATGCATACAAGCATACAGGAAAAAGAAATCAAACGATATTTTTAACAGTCATGTCAGACTAATAATCCGTTGTTATTGCCAGGTCACATTTTGGTGTCTCATGTACAACCGTTATCATCATGTTTAGTCCTCATAAAAATATAGTGGCTGTGCTTACATGTTACCAATGTATTGCATTTATAACTTCATGTATTGAGATCAAAATTAAATATCTTTTGGGACTACACATCTAGATTTTTTAATTAAGCAGGTTTTTAACTTACCCAGTCACATGTCTCTCCAGTGTTAAATCGTTGTACATATTTGTGCTGTAGTTGTGGGGGACTCACTCCTCTTTGGACCAATGTATGTAATTTCAGGGAACCAATGATGCTATGTGGACAGTTATTTTGTCTTTACAACACAGTCCTGGATTTCCTAATGAAAGAAATTGTCCCTTTAGGGCTTGGAAGGCCTACACCCCCCACACGCACGCATGAAAATGAAACAGCGCCCTTTCCAAAAGAATTCAAATTAAAAGTACAACCTTATAAAGCATTCCACAAGACCGAGTGTAACAGGACCTTTAAGAGCCTTTGTACCAGTACATGTATCTAAGATAAATTAAATGAATTACATAACGGTGGTTGCTAGCCGTACATACATGTATGTAGCTGAGGGGCCATCCAGTTTTCTCATTATTTTCATCAATGTACAGAGTTTATGCAAGGGACAGTAGTACCGGACTACGTGTACATGTACGTTGTTATTAACCTGTTAACAGACTCCATTGTTCTTGTGTATACATGTTATCAAAACTGAAAAGTGATAACTGTGCATTGCCATATTTGAGCATTATCTTTTGGAGTAGGAGAGGCATCAGAGGAGAAGAAAAGAGAATATTATTTAGGCTTGTGTGATGATGAAAATTGGACGAGTCTCCAAACCAAGGGATTCATTTCATAACCCTGTTCTTATATCCGCATTTTTGTTTGAACAGTAAGAAACTGAGGACCGTCAGACTCATTCGACGTGGCAAGGAAAACCTTGGCTTTGCTTTGCGAGGCGGTGTTGAGTTTGGAGTAGGGATGATTGTGTCTGAAGTTGTTGAAGAGTCTCAGGCTGCTAGGAAAGGACTCAAGGTAAACATTTTCATGATAGTAAAATCCTCACAGAAAAACACAGGTCTATGTGTAATTTCGTCTTGAGGACATTTGAAATATTCAAAACTTGTGTGGGACCCAACCTGACCTGTCATAAGTTGCCAGAGTCACTTTTTCAGTTACTGACTCTCAATGAATCTTGCACAGTGTAAATCAATATCCATTTCAATTGGGATGCCAAACTGAGTGATATGTAAACAGTGGGTCTAGTTTGCTAGTTGTCAGATGTACATGTACATACAGAGATGTATATATGTGTACATTGAAAGGAGCATTATTTAAATGAAAACGTGTAAGAGCTAATACATAAAATAATCTTCTCCCTTAAAAAAAGGCTTTTGCATGTTGCATTGTGTCATTTTTAATTAAAGAAGGAAGTAAAGTTAAAAGTAAATAACAAATTACATACAAGATCATTTCTTGCTACATGTAACTTCCAAGATCTCCCCCATAGCTGATTTATTTGAGAATAGGCAAAGGCCATATTGCCAGCTTAGTCACTGTACCCTTCGACATCCCTCCAAGTCCACCAGGATACTTGGAGAGATTTGAGGAAGTTGCTACAGACTGTACATGTACAGTACTATGTACATGCAGGCCATATTGCTTTATCAGTGGCCTGAACCACCACATATTGGAGGATTCAGAAAAAGTTGGCTCTTGCTGGTTATGATTAATAATGAAGGCATTCCTTGCTGGTGAAAGGTTAATAATGTACAGTGGCTGTGCCTTGGAAACAATGGATGGTCAGGGAATAATGAGATGATTTGAGGAAGGAAAAGATGACTTTTAACGTACATGTTGTTCCTCAAACTATTTTATTCCAACCAAAAAATTAGTGTTTTGTGTCCTTGTCCAGTGAATGAACTTAGGTGCTGGTTTCGATGTTAATTTTCCAACTATTTTGTTTCCGTTTGTTCTTGCAATGCAAGCAATGTGCTCAGAATCGTGGGTACATGCATTTTTTTTACAAAATGATTTCCTTGTCTGTAATGGCTGAAATGATACATGTACCTGACATGTATGTGTACAGGGCCACAGACGTGAAAAGGGTGTTGACATGAATGAAGCACATTGTATAATTTGACCCAGACAGGACCTTTGGCACTGGCTATCTGTGGATGTTTAAGAAGCTGGTTGTTTGTCAGTCCACATTTCTTTCTCAAGGCCCAGAATTCTCCTCAGCTGTAAACTTATGTTTGCTTTAAAGAAGATCGTATTCCCATAATCTCTTCATTAATGTTGAAGTGTTTTAGATGGTGAAACAGTGAAAGATTTACTCCACAGTGGACCACAGTTACATGTACTTATAGTATTTTGTGAAATCAAAGTGTTTGGTCGTAAAATTCCCCAAGCATTTTTTAAAATCCTTTCTGTACGACTGTCCTAAGAATGGGTCACTCTCACTTCTGGGATTTTATTAGTGCTAATTTAGGGGTCAAGACATCCTGAAAGCATCCAGTGAAAATGCAGAGCAATTTATCATCAGTTGGTTTTGGTTTAAATAAACCTTGAGGAAAATCAGGAACTACTATTTGTCACAGCTTGGAAAAATGTGAAAATTTTTTTGCTTATAAATCCTATTGGTGATTCTGTCCAAATACATGCAACAACTTTTGAGAGATAACTCAATGTTCCCCTTGCCCTTTGTGAAGGCTGTACTGCACTTGTGTACATGTCCATTCGTGTGAAGTCAATTGGCTGTGATTAGTAAGCACTATTATTGAGTGTGTCTTTCCACACTTAGGCAGTTCCCAACCACAAAAAGTATTATATCTGACACTTACATAGGGCTGAGTCAATTTGAATATTTCACTATACGAATATTCGACCTTCAATTTGATTGAATATCTGAATATTTGGTCACACTGACTGGCAGATTGTTGATGAACAAACCATGTATGCAATAACACATATAATAGCTTTTTTTCAAGATGTATAACAGCTGCTCACATCTAGGGGTATCTCCAGCTACAATTTTGCAAGATTTAAGAGATAAACAAGACTTCTTTCCCTGTTGAAAATTTCTATTCCTTTTAAATTGTTTAATGAATAATTTACTTTTTTAATTTTTGTAAGATTTCTGACACTTTTTATCTGAAGCTGCTTGAAACAAGCTTCCATAATGTAATTTTTCTCATTACAAAAAAAAAAAATTCTTCCTTTTCATGAATTTTGCATTCAAATATTCAGATTCGAAAAATAACATTTGAGTATTCGACAATTGATCGAATATTCGGTTATTTGGATATTCGGCACAGCCCTTGCAATGTGATATCTCATCTTCTTATGTGGTGTGTATACAGTACATGTAAGTATATCTGGAACAGAACAAAGGATTCTGAGTCAAGTAGGTGTTTGGTAAAAAGGTTATACACCGAGGTTATAAAGTACATTCTGCTCTGTGGCCAATTGATTCATATTCCGTCTGAAAATTTTGCGTTTTGAACTCACCTACATGTATTATAACAACCTATATTATGTACATTCATTGAAATGAAAGAAACGCTTTGTTTTTTAATGTTGATTTAAATTTGATTGTTGCCTAGAGTTGATGTTTTCTGTAACGTCTTAAACTTGCCTCCCACTCATATATTAAAAACAAGTGTTGTTTACTTAAAGTCTGTGTACCTAAGGTGAGTTACAGTTGAGTATGGTTGCCTTTTTTAAGGTTGGTGATGAAATTGTTCGTTTGAATGGATACAACATCAGTCAGGCCACACACAATGAAGTGATATCTACTCTTGGAGTGGGCAAAACACTCACACTGAAAGTGAGAAGTAAGTGACGCTTAACCTAGATGTTAGAAGTTCTGAATCTGTAACAGATAGAAAACTGTCAGATACTAGTGTTTTCTTGCATATCTTGATGGGAAGTGCTTCCAGCAGAGTTTGTTGCTACCAGATACATGTATCTGTTTTGTTAATGTGGAGGATCAAGTTTTTTTTCCCCAAGAAAAAACAAGTCCCTGAAATGAAGTTTTATTTGTCGCACAGTTCTCCCGTAGTTCATCCTTTGTTTGCAGCACAATACATTATTATAAACATTGAACTACGCATAACACCTTGTTTTTTTCTTTTTAGACTAACTCATTAATTTTTACCACAATGCAAACAAAGCTTTTTAATTCTGGATCCAAATAAGGTACTTTAATTGAGATTTGAAGAAAACAAATTACTGAATCAATTCTAAATGCTTCTTTGCAGTCATATGCAAGTTGTTGTCCTAAATATCAACCTCACATATTCAAAATAATCCTTAATATTCCAGTGTTTGAGAAAAAGTTACGTGTACACTGTAAAGATTTAGCAAAGCTGTCTTTCACTGATTTGATAACTTTCTATGCTTTAAACAGCAGTCGGTGCAAGCAGGCAGCCACCTGTTACAGCGCCCTCTATCACCCATTTTGTATTCTGTTAAAATATCCTTAAAGGAATTACAGACCAAATTCCATATTTTTTGAGAACCAGATCACATTGTGGACAGCTTTGATATGATTTCCCTACAAAATAGAACTAAGGGATAGAATGTGATATCAGGCATCATCTGAAATTACGTGTAAGTCAGGATTGTGATGTGATTTTGGTAAAGTGGCAAGACAGTGGATGTGATATTGGAAAGGTGCCAACATACACATAGGATGTGATTTGGGACTTTAATGGCATAATCCTGGTTGTCATTTCCGGCATGGACGTGATCCTACACTACCAAAATCACATCCAAGTGAGTTGCCTCTCCATATTTATAGAGAAATCATGTCCAGGTTGTTAACGGTGTTATTTATATGTTACAATGGCTCAATGGTTCTAAGAATAAGAACTGGTTAGTAAAATTAGAGCAACAGGAAAGGCTGGAGGACACTGTTTGAAACACTTTTAACTACCTAAATGAAGAGAAAGCCTTTACCTTTTAGTCAATTTCAAGATGTACATGTACGCTTCAAATAAAAAGTTTACTAACAACCATGTTTTAACGAATTTACAGTTTTGTTTGTATTGATTGAAATTTCTGTTCATGGTTCATTTACTCAAGTATTATTGGGAGTGTTTAACTTCAAGGGTTTCAGAACTTCTTTGAATGTGTTCAGGTATTGGCATGGTTCCAATGAAGAATGAACAAGCAGATCCAGTCAAATGGAAGTTAGTCATAGAGAGGCAAGTAGGTGTTGAGGTATGTATTCTCAGACATTGGTCAAGCTTTAGAGATTGAAGGAGTGGATTGCTAAAGGCCTGTCTTTGCAGCTCTGATATGATTCTTGAAATGAGTACAAATGAGTAATAATTCCTTGTGTGCAAGACTTTGTTTCACTCTGATCCTTTGGGTAATGTAAGTAAAATCATATTGAAATCAGAGGATTTGGGACTGTAAGCTCTATGCAATCTTGTTTGCAATGCAAGTATGATAATGGTGAAAACACTAAAAACTTGACATTTTATGCATGTCGTTGTACGTGTGATGTTCAGATTCAAACTGTGATCACATTGTATGTACATTGCATGTTTAGCACATATTGGATTTCTTTAATTGAAACACTTGTAATTTCTGACAAGAAACAAACCTGGTTTACTTTGGGATGAAGTAACAAAAATCAATTGTTTCTCTGTTTTTCTGGTTAGGTTAATGCAGGAGCGGGCAATGACAAAGACAAAGAGATGGATCGCAAGGTGTTTGTCAATCTGCGGTCAGGAAAGAAGTTGGGCTGTGGTATTGGCACTGGACAGAAAAATGAGCCAGGCATTTTTATTTTTAAAATAAGTCCAGGCTCAATGGCTGAAACGCTGAATTTCAAGGTAAAGTACATGTACTTTGGAAGATTGAGGTTGTTAATTTAAGCCATCTGTTTTAATACACGAAGTAGCTGTGTATGGTACCATTCCACAACAAACTTTTCCCAGGTACGGTATCATTACGGTAAAGTCTCAAGAATCTATGCAACAACAAATGACCATTCAGCTTATTCAGCTCTTTTTCTTCAGCCTTAGTAGGCTGAAGAGGGTTGTTGAGAATAAGGATTATTTTAACATTGGTGGAGTTAACATATTAGACAAGCACAGGTACTTTATTCCACCATGCCCAGTTGGACTGTTCCATTAGTTGGAACTGAAGCAGCAATGGTACAGCCCAAAGTTAAAAAGTGGGTCAAATGGTATGGAGTGCAATTTGTACATGTACATCAACATTCCTTTAACAATTTATGGAGCACAAGAACTCAACTTAATTTTTGTTACAATATCAAAGCCAAAAGAGTTGAGGCCGAAGGTGCCATACTGTAGGAATATAAAGTTGAGGCCATGCCAGTAAGCTGATATACATTGTTTTCCCTGTTGTCTATTTATTTGCTAGATTGGAGATCAGATTCTTGATGTCAATGGCACTAGCTTCCTGAATATCTCCCACGATGCAGCTGTGATGGAGCTCAAGTCAAGCAGCCAGCTGACTATCACTCTACGATCTAAGAAGGTATGGCATTGTTGTGTACCCTGACTTAGTAGTCCTCTTCATGTTCATCATACATGCGCATGTACATGTACAGGCTTTCCTTAAACCATAAACCAGCATGTGGGATGAATTCCTTGGAAAAGATTTTGTTCAACAATGGAGGATGTTTGTGTCAAATTAGATATGTGTAAATAAAAACACAATAAACCAAAATAAACATGATTCTTGCCATCCAACCAACTTTAAAAATGACTTTTAGAACCTTATTTCCCAGGCTGGATTATCAAAAGTCGTCATATGTCTAAATATCGTCATTGAGGGCAGCATGTGAATCTCCCCAAATTATGATATGATACAAGGGAGTAGTTCTGGCAAGGTATTTTAAATCGCCCCACGCAGCACAGTCATGCAGTAACAGTGCAGATACGAAGGCATCTGTTACGTGATGATGAGGTTTTTTTAGGACAGCCTATATTTGCAATCTATCATTCTATCAATATCACAGTTCCTTTTCCATCAATGCATTCATTATCATTATTTAGCAGTATCATCAGACGTCACTGCCATGCATGAATTCACGGCCAACATAATCTGTACAGCATCTGCTCTCTTGTAGTGCTCATAAACAGGTACTAGTACAACATTTGAAGCAAATTTTAGATATCATTTCATTTTCTGATGTGTATTCTATTTCTTCGGTGGCTATTTTACATGTGTGTTTCTGATAATTTTGAAAAGTAAACTGGCTGCTATCAATCCCCTGTCGTCTTTTTGTTTTTTCTTTTTCTGCCTTTTTTATCTTCCTTTTTTCCTCCATGGTCAAAAGAGATTCACTTTGTCTCATTCCTCAGACAGCCACCTTTAATCAAAATTTGATATCTGTGGGAAGTTAGGAAAAAAGATGATGCAGTTGGAGCAAATTATTGAGTATAATCATTGTGTTTTAATTGGTAGTTAAGTTCCAAAGTATGGATGAAAAATCATGTCACCCTTCTATGTCCAAGTGAAAAATGTTTTTTGTAATGAGGTTATACCTGTACCGGTACCTGTAAATGTAACAAAATATTCAGGCTCTTTCCAATTCCACAGTGTTCAGTGAATACAGTGGATTGAGGGCCACAATCCAAAATGGTCAACTCGTGAGTAGAGCATATGCATTTTATTTTCACATATGCACAGACTGTAATGGGAATTGTACACTTAATGCATAAATTTCATAAAAGAGACACCCTGATGTTGGTCGGTCCGAGGTGCCTGTTGATGAGGAAAGTCAACTTCCATCAGAGACTGAACGGTTACCCACAGAATCGAGTTCTACTCAGCCTGAGGCATGGTGGGATAAGAATCCATACAGTCTGGTAAGCAGTCATTATTGGATATGTGTCCGGAACACAGATTTGTAGTCGGGTGAATCATGATTCCTTCTTGTACCTCGGTTATACACAGTGAATTTTTATTGGTCACGAATTGGTCAAGTGATTTGCCACAATTACCGGGGGTAAGATTTGTCCAGATTGTTCCGAATTTCCTGATTTGGGGAAAAATGTATTCAGGATTTATGGATTTTTCTATTGGGCATGGTGTTGCCAGAACAAGAAGTAATATTTCCAAATTTTGCACAAAATTGAACGCAGGACTTTTGCGAGTTGAGGTTTCAGTAGTGCACATGCAGTGAATACTGCTAAACAGTGGGGGTATATGGTGTAGCACTGTAAGGACTTGGCACAGCTTCTAACTGTGTACACATGTGCCATGCACTGTACTGCTCGTACATTGTCAAATGTTTTCGGAAAACCTTTCAGGCGCCATTTTATGTTTATGTTTGGATTTATCAAAATGGCTCTCAGTTATTCCCTTAAAGTCATCAATCATGGGGGAGGTCTTTCACTTGACAAAGGCTTGAAAAATACATGGAAATTTTTGCAGCTTGAAGGTAGAAAAGTAGACACACTAAAGGGAAGACAAATATTAGTGGAAATTATTATCAGCCAATTGTTAATTGCTAATTATCTCATAAGAGTTAATCAACAGCAGCAAATAGGCAAGCTTACTGACTTGTTTTCCTTAAAACAAAAAGGATAGGTATGTACATTTTGTGTTTGGAGATGAATGTTTCAAGCACACAACCTTCAGTAAATGTTCACTTTCCCATCTATTTCTAACCATCAAACAGTTCACTCACCGTCAGATCGACGGGCGGAAGCTCTCTAAGATAGAGATTGTGAAGGACATGCCCTTAGAGATGCTGCTTGAAGGGGGTATAGACTCTCCACTGGCTGGGAGGGTGGTTATAGCTGAGGTCTATGAGGGGGGGTCAGCCGAACGCAGTGGTAAGCATAGCAGATGCACGGACATATTACGTGTACATCCGTGTAGCCAGAGTCACAAGACCAGACATAAGACCAGGCACAAGACCAGACACAAAAAGAATCAGGCATCAAAACTTACAAAGTTACAAGTTACGAATTATAGAAATATATGGGGCTGGTCGAGTAGCGTCTGACTTGGGTTGGTAACAAGTCATTTTTTGCAAGTCACAAGTCATTTGTGCAAGTCCAAGTCAAGTCTCAAATCAAAGCTGGTATTTACAAGTTAAGTCACAAGTCACAAAAATAGCGACTTGAGTCTGACTCCAGTCCAAGCCACATGACTCGAGTCAACAACTCTGTTACCAACCAAGGTGGGATTTGAACCTTGGTCACAGATGTGTAAGATAGGGAGGGACAGTGGTGGATCTGGGGAGAGGGAGGGAGATAAGCAAACTTTTCTACCCTAAAAGGAGCACCTTTGTTTGACAAAGTAATTGAAAAAATATATATGGGACCTTTTCATCGTCTAAAACCATTTCAAAAGGTCCCAAATTTACCCACACCCCTCAGAAAAACCATGAACGATATAAAAACAAATTTCATTTTTTTGGCCCCCTAAAATTCATTGCCCCGCTCCCTGATCCACACCTAAAAAAACTGGCTCAGATCCACCCTTGGGTGAAGGCACCAACCATGACTCCCCTAATCTAGTGTATAAATTACAATCCATCTTGGCAGTGAAATGAGCTAAATGGGAGTTTTCTCCTTTTACCCCTATCTCTTTCAGGACAATTTTTCAAAGGAGACCAACTGATGATGGTCGATGGGAAGAGTATGATTGATATCCCGTTGACCACCGCTCAAGACATACTGAAGGAGGCTATGGTCTCTTCTGACGTAAGAAGCTCAACAGAACTTACCTCTTTTCTCCATTTTTATTTGTGTATATATTCTGTGTATTTCATTAAGTTGTGCGTAAAGCCTTTATTGAGCTTTCATTGTGTGGGATATTTGCAAGTACACTGGATGATGAACATGTATAAAAACTCAGGTCAGTAGGCAGCGGCCAAGTGTAAAATATGATTTGATGTTTTCATTGCTGGCATTACTGACTATGTCGTTGATGTGGGTCTGCATCATTGCAACAGTCTGTCTTGTTGTTTAGCGTTATAATTGAGTACCATCAAGCCCATCCTAAGTCCCCCGGACTTAAGCCACATCACATGCATTTCAAATGCTCTGTGACAAAAGCACTTCCTTGTCACTATTACCCTTGTTGCTCATGACTGGTCTTATACGAGGATATGTGACTGAGATTATAAAGAAACTTGGACTCAACTGTGACATTTGCATACAAACAACAAATCTTTAAGACTGGCTGAAGTCCATGGACTGGTTATTACAATCCAGCCCTGGTCGCGAACTGAACTCAACCTCAGAAGATATTGACTTTACTCAACACTGATGAAAAAGGTGAGCAGCCCATCAAAGCAGACTTATACCTAGTCAATCCGTGTTTATGTGCATGTAGGGTGCTGAGGTTTTGCGATTGATTACAGCTGTGTCTCCAGTCAAGAACTATGAAGATGAACTGTAAGTATTTTGTGATTCCCAAGCTTTGACACTCGTCAAAGAGTTACCCCTTAGCAATATAAGTATCACTTTTTACTCAGAAAGTGGAGAGCTGTCTAAATTGATACATGAAAAAAGCTTATGGGTAGAGCAAGTTTATGAGCGCAGTGCATTATTTCATGAGGTTTAAGACAATTTCTTGCAGTCATTAACGCTTCGTCAAGTTTTTCCAGGAACTCCTTTACATGTACATGTATGCTGTATGTTTAGACAGAACTGGAACAACATGTACACTTATAAGACCTGCTGGGCTCAGTCTTTGTCTTGGTTCTCCACCATTTGGTCTAAGTCTTCCAGGTTTGGCTTTTGGACCTCAGAATCTCTGTCTTGCACCTTCAGGTTTTGGTTCTCCATGATTTGATCTAAGTCCTCCAGGTTCAGATTTGGATCTCCAAGTGTCGGTCTCAGAGAGTCAGGTTTTGGTTCTCCACCATTTGGTCTGTCTCAGTCTTCGAGGATTGGGTTTGGACCTCAGAGTCTTGTTCTCAGACCTTCAGGTCCTGGTTCTCCACCATGTGGTCTGTCAAAGTCCTTCAGGTTTGGGTTTTAGACCTCAAGAGTCTTGTTCTCAGACCTTCAGGTCCTGGTTCTCCACCATGTGGTCTGTCAAAGTCCTTCAGGTTTGGGTTTTAGACCTCAGAGTCTTGTTCTCAGACCTTCAGGTCCTGGTTCTCCACTATGTGGTCTGTCAAAGTCCTTCAGGTTTGGGTTTTGGACCTCACAGTCTTGTTCTCAGACCTTCAGGTCCTGGTTCTCCACCATGTGTTCTGTCAAAGTCCTTCAGGTTTGAGTTTTAGACCTCAGAGTCTTGCCTGAGACCTTCAGGTCTTGTGCTGAGACATTAACCCCAGCTGTGACTGCTGTACCCAGCGCTTACATAAACATGCTTTGGGTATATATGTGTGCACATTGAAATAAGAAAACTTGCATGTTCTTTCATACGTTATTGGTGCTACCCAGTACAGTGCATGCAAACCAAATGTTCACCATGCAGTCGTAGTGAGTGGTCTCTCTTTGCCATTTATTTTTCTGTTCAAAGTGGCCTTATGGATTTCTAAATTTCACTTGTAGATTTGTTTCTTTCTTTGTCTTCTGTGCAGGACCTTCTTCTAGGTGCAATTGTTTGTTTCTGTTAGATGTCAACTGGGATGATTCTACTTGTTTTGTGTAGCTTTATAAAATGCACTTGATTCCCTTTCATTTGAACGATTTGTTTTGTACATGTATTGTAAGTCAATATTGAGATGACTTGGCAAGGTAGCATTATCTGATATTCATAACTACCTGGGACAGTGTTTCTATTCCTATTGGTCAAATTGTGACATGTGACCGTGTATTAACATTTGATAATGCCTGCTGAGAAGCGATAATGCCTGCTGCTTCAATCACTTGCTGGCACTTGGATACGATACAGTTTAATTGGGTCTGATTGGTCAGAAGCCTGTGTGCATGCAATGCGCCATGCGCACGCCAAGTTCATTGAAGGGGATTCTGTTGGACAACTTTCAAAAGGAATATACCATGAAATGGATGGGGGTGTTCAGGAAAATGCAAGTAAAATTTTTGAACAAAATCGTTGGAAATCTATCACATGTTGACTTCTTTGGACTCTCTGAATAAAAAGGTATTTCTAAATGGGAATAAATACGTGCTTGGTCTTAAACATTTAAAACCTTGCTCAGGAGAAAGAATGCTTATTAGAATGAATGCTGATCATGCCCTTGTCTGCGGCTCTGACATTAGTCGCATACATTCTCCTGAGCTGGTCATAGATGCACGTTTCAGACCAGCCATGCAAGCACACATTTATTCCTTAATTAGTAGCAGATGCATTTTTAGTAAATTTTCAGTTTTACTTTTGATCAGATAGCAGTTATTTGAATTGTTATATTTCATACATTTTAACTGGCTTACGTACAACAACAGTAGATTTCATTTCGAGGATGTTGAACTCTTTTCTTTTAATACATAAAGTTGTTCTGTTTACTTCCATTTTGTGGCGGACATTGTTTTTTTCCCTACTCATAAAAATTGACAAGTTGAATAAAATTATGGCCTGACCTTAAGAATGAGCCAGAAGTCACCAGAGCCATTTATGAGCTAAATATCTTGCAAAATGAAAATTGGTTAAATCTTCAACATTTTTTCCCACATCATGCCCATTTTAATTAAGATGCAAAAATGAGTGATTCACCAAAACAGAGAGCTTGGCTTGCTTTCCTTAGTGCAGAACTATAACAAAATTACTGCAACATGGCCTAAGTCTCTCTTTGTGAGATCTGGTCATAGTTGTGAGGATTTGTGGTCAATAATAGCTGACAAAGTACTTGTAAAGTTTGTTTAGCAGGTTATAATTGACACAGTTTTACAGAAATTATCAGCTAATAGTTCAGGCTGCAATTCTTGAGATGTTTTTGTGGCAAGTGTAGTATCCATGTAACTGCTATAGGAAGAACTCTGCATTATGTTCTGCAGTGAGACACTATTCCCATCATAGAAAAAATGAATTTATACAACAGTTTTAATCATAGTTATGTAATCTTTTATACAGTAGCTGCAGTTATACTGTTATAGAGTTTCAAATGTCGGACCATTTTTTGATTAAAACCGAGCATTAATAGTTCCAAATGTGGGGATATTGGCAGTGCAGTTGATGGAACTCATTTCTATTGTGAATGCAGCGATGATGACCAACATTGAAGCCTGAGTTGAATGCCTCCAGAGCTATGTTGTGAATTTGTGGCAAAAATGATTGCCTCAAAGTAAACTTGTGAGAGTGAATGTGAGTTTACGATGTGGTTACAACATTTGCAAAAGGATTTGGAAAATGTTGGAAAATGTTTAGTGACAATTAAAAGTCATGTTTGCATTCACATTTATGGTGAGTGTGAATAGCCTAACAAGACAACTTGAAGTTTAAAGTCCTCCATTTTGTTTGATACCGGTACTGGTATTGTTGTCAACTGGATCCCACAGAATTCTTTCCCATACTTTGATGTGAGCAGATATGCTTACTACACTCTACAGACTTTTGCTTNAGATGCTGGATTGGAGCTGGTCGTGGGTGGCGGATATCTGCTTGTCCAGTGAGGCAAGGGTGGACCTAGTGGTACTGATGCGGTGGCGAAGAAGGGCAGATGTTGTATGCCCTGCGGACCAGGGCCCGGTTGACGGATGACTTAATCTTGGGGTGGTGGAAGGAAGTATTGTGGAGATACCTGTCCGTGTGGGTGGACTTGCGGTAGACAGTGCGTGCTAGGTTACCGAAGAGATTACGTCAAACGCGGAAATGAAAAAAGAAGTCTTCAACAAGTGTACGTGTCCTCCCGTGGAACAAACAAGAAAAAATAGGTGTTTACACCATGACATCATCCGGCGTCAAGCGGTTAAGTAGCTACAATTGTTATCTGCCAGAGCAGTTTTGTTTAGTGCATGTAGAATATTGGTATGAAGTTGGCTCATTGAGAAAGGATTTTTTTATTCACACTTATGTTACTGAGTTGATAAATTCCAAATACATGTCAAATACACACAAAATCAGAGTTGGGATTTTGGCAAGATGTGTAATTGAAGGACTTGGAACTAGTCTATTAGTGTCATATTACACGTGCACGCTTGTCGCTAGACATGCCGTGTCCAAATTACTTGGCTACGGATCGAAATAGCACATGTGCCTACGGATGCCGTTAGCTAGCGGCTTTGTACATTTCCCATTAGCTCTCGTGTTATAGCCGGCCATAGCCCTACACAGACTGTACAAGTACAACGGAGTCTCGTCGCATTGAACGCCATGGCGGTGGATGAAGAGCTGTCTGTGTCATGGAGTGTGGAGATGGAAGTCAACCTGTTCCATGCCATGAGGGGTCACAAACCAGTTGGTAAATTGATTCTGCGTACAGTTCTTGTAAGGGCCAAAGTTCGAGCACATTCGCGATACAACATTGGAAGACCATGGAAGAATAAAACATGCGAAGACTTAACGTGACAAACCATGCTAACAAGTAACATTGGCCATGTCACAGATCATGTACATGAACATGTATGTTGGCCATTGTTGTGTAGCAACTAGCATACGTACCTACGTTACATGTAATTAGGCCTACACAGGCCTAACGTTACTTTTAATTATGAAGTTCATACAAACCTTAGGTTACAGATAAAAAGTGCATCCAACCAAAATGGTGTTAGGCCTGTCTCATCTCAGATTGCACAGAATGTCTATGCTGCCCCTTATACTTTTATAGTTTGCAGTGGCTGTTATGGCAGCTGTAACGCATCTCCCATGTTTTATCATTACAGTACTGCAACTGCGCAAGCGCATCAACTTAAGCACAGATTTTGGACTTTATTTCCCTTTAAAAAAATCCCCCAAAGCCTTCGATGAGAAAAAAATTCCTGCTTAGGCCTATGGGGCAGCGCGGACATCCGGGAGTTTCACAGAAATATGGGTAGCAACCATTCCGCGCTGGTGAAAACAACTGCAATAAGCGCGCGTGTACGTACAGATCAAAGAAGAGATTGTATAACTCGATCCTTGGACTGGCTGGTGCGAGCGTATGTTGTCAAGATCGCTGTTTTCACCGGCGCAGTACCTGTCATTTTGCGAGAATCCCGGATGTCTGTGCTGCTCCATACAATTAGAAACCAACATAAACAATTATGGTATAAAACATGAAATTTAGGCAAAAAAATTAAATAGTTCAAGCGCGGATTCGAACTCACAAACCAGTGTTTCTAAACCTTTCACCTTGATCACTTGGCCACTAGTGTTCAGCTATGTCATCGCACTTGCGCTGTTCAGTGCTGTAACGATAGAAAATGAGAAATGCGTATAACTGACATAACGATAGCCACTTCATTCATAGTTACACCGATTTTCCTTCTGTGATTTCATTAGCTACATGTAGGCCTACTAAGATGAGGTCTGTCTCACGGGATACGGTTTGGTATGGAATTAGGTCAACTGGTACCCGGAACAACTCGTACCCAGGTCAACTCGTACCCCCAAACTCCTGCCCAAGTCAACTCGTACCCAGGTCAACTCGTTTCCAGGTCATCTTGTATGCACGTCAACTCGTATCCTGGACCACTTGTATCCAGGACAACTCGTACTCCGTATGTTAGAATAGTGCTGCAGCCAAACCAAACCGAACCAAAAATTGTTTCGAACATTGCACATTCGAACCGAACCAAACCAAACTGGTCGGTTCGGATGTTCGGTTTTAATATGGCATGACATTGGTCATGTTGGTAGCGCGCGGAATGCATGCAAGAAAATGTGTTAAAAAAGCAAACACAACGAAAAATGGATAACGAGTTGTGCCGCACCAGTGCCGCTCTAGTGCTCTGCACATGTGCTATAAATTAACTGTACAGTCACAACAGTACAGTACATACATGTACACTACAGTAAACTTACGATGGCCCTGCGTCACGCGATGGTTGTAAAAAGCATATGTTGAGATTTCACTAATAATCAACTGAGAACAAGCAACATACGGCATTTCCACTGCACAACAACTCTAAATTCTCACTACATCCAATTGTACTTACATGTATGTATATTCAAATTTAGCATTATGTTTGCCAATCTCCGGTAGCCATGCCCTTACGTTCCATATTAGGCCAATGATGTCATAAATGGCTGTGCAAAAAGTTTGATTGGATACTGATCAGAGTTGGACTCGTGCTCAATCAAAGGCAACTCTGGAAGGAAAACTGATTTTGGTTCGCGCGGTGGCCCAACTTAAAAGGATTTTTTTAAGTGAAGGAGAGGATTGTATAATGTAATTAATCAAGTAAAATTAATTAAAAAGTTGACATTGGACATTTTCCAGAACCAGTCTGTACTGTACATGTACTGAAAGTACTGTACATAAACACTCTTCATCAGCCGCACACATCGCGAATGCAAAAGGTTGCTGGCCGGAAAGACATCAGTGATCTGTTGCAAGAGGTTTTCTGCAAGTTAATTCACAGAACATGGTCTCTTATTTAATTCACAGAACATGGTCTCTTATTTATGTCTTATTTATTTATGTATCTTCTGTGTTCATGAGTGTAATTTGAGGTTGTTCTGCTCATGGCACAAGGTTTAGTGCCCGCTGGTCTAGATACACGGACATTGTTGGCCAGTTTGCCGTCGTGATTGTGTGAATTGTTCATAATGTCCTTTTGAATTGCCGTATGTAAACATTTTTACATAAATTAAGACAGGTTTTCTTCACTTTTTGAGATACTTTTGGAGGCTGTCGCCCCCACTGATGCCATTCAATCAGCACAATATTGCTCCCAAACAAAAAAAAGTTCTGAGCTCCCAACACTATTTTTGATAGGCTTGCGCAGCACAACTACATCATGTATTTTTTTGGCCTAATAAAAGACTGCATGTATGCAGTAGTTAAATAACAATAATCGTGGATTCTGAGAAATCTTTGGCAAGTGTTGATCCAATTCAAGAAAGCAAATTTATGACATGGTCTGCCCGATCGGGCACACAAAAAACAAAAAAAATCATTGCGGCCTGCACCCGAACAAGGATTTTGAAATCAGCAAAAACTGAGAAACTCATAAATTAACACGATTAAACTGTACTGAAACTTTAATAAGGGTGCACCCTAGGAGGTTAAACCCAACAATTTATGCATTGTTTATTTGTCTGATGAAGGGGTGAACAAGAATTTCCAAATGATGTGCATTCATGACAAGTTGCAGCAATCCATGGGACGCAAGGTTACTTCACAGCAAATCTGGCAACATCTCAGCACCATGTACGACATGCAAGCATTGGTATGTTGGTCAGTGGGAAATACAAACATTTAGTTTTATTTATTAAATGTACAGGAACCTTTAAGTGCCTCAACAGAAAGCATTGACTTGATCTGTAAGCTGTCTGTCAGTGCTTTGCAGAACTTTGATCTGATGATTGGAATTCACAGCGTAGCCTAACGGAACTAATTCAGTGAAAGTCTTTTATTTTACAGCATGAATCCGAGATTCTTCCATTCCCCAATAATCAGTCCGAGTTTACACTACCAACTGAAGAATATGGTGAGCTGATGAGTGGCAAAAGAAAAGCTGCCCCTTCCAATGTGGAAGAAAGTGAGTTGACCTAACAGATTCTCTGTTTGGCATTATTTAGATAAATTTCTGTTGAATTAGTCATCATTCATCACATGACCAAGGTGGTAGGGGTGCCACAATAAAAACCAAGAGTGATGAAGATCTCCACAGCCGTCAGTGTGTCAGACATGCCACTGCGGTAGAGAGATTATGCTTAGTCCAGGATTTCTGGCTTCTACCTTCTTTAGTGACCTCTGCCCTCCACAATTCCCTACAAGATGGCTACAGACAGAGAATCACGGCGGGAAACATGCTCAAACCAAGATCCTGAACTACATGTTGCTTTTAGCTCGTTTAAAAACTTACCAGTTCAGCTAACTTGTTTCCAGTGCAAGTTAGTTCCGAACTTCAGAACCCTGCAAACTACAGTTGTGCAGGAAGCTCAGAAATGATGTGTTCTTAGTTTGTAAAGAAGGCTTTTTCATCTGTGCGCTTATTTTCACTGTCATCAAATTTCTCAAAATGACAATTCTGGCTTGGCGGCTTAAAAAGGATCGCAATTAATGCTGGCTTTTACTAGTGGGCATACACTTTTTGAAGTTACCAAAAATTTTTATTCACTAAATGTTTGAATTGATCCTAACCCCCTAGGGACCATTGAAATTGTGCATATGGTTGTTGGATTCAGAGTGGTTAGGGGGTGCCAAATCCCCCGTATTTTTCTCCACCAGTAATCCTGCCATTCACCAATCTAGGAGTGTTTAAGTGATGAGATTTTTTTTATTTGTAGATGGACATTCACAGTAGATCAGTAGAACAAAAGCTGTATTAGTGGTACATCCACATCGCACAAAACATGGACATGATGTTCTTTCAAAGTGAAGTGACGTTGCAGAAGTAGCTAGTTTTTGTCATTGAAAATGAAAAGATGGAGACTGTAAAGTTGTTAGTGTCACGACTGTCCTTGCAGGTACCCCTAAAGAGTCTCTGAAGACCACCATCCGGCTACCAACCATGACCTCTCTTGCCTCTGTGACCCCCTCAGAAAAGGACAACTCGCCCAAGAGGAAGAGGACCAGGCAAGGAACGAGTGCACCCAACCCAGACATACTGGCCAGCAAGAGGCGTAGATGAGGTCTGTTGATACCAAGACGGGGCCAATGGTCATCCACCCCTCCAACATGTCCCAGCAACCAGACTCATTCATGATGCCTCGCTTACATCTACTTAACAGCAACAGTTACGGCAGAGGAACACCAGAGGCTCATTGAAGTCTGGCGTGGCATTCAAAACTGCACCTACAATGTACACCAGGAAAACCTGATGAGAGCATTTTACTAATACTTCATCCTGCTTGTGAGGAGGAAACTTGTAGGTACCAAGTCTTTGTATTTGGTGTTTTCTACTTTGAGTGTTATCCTTGTCATGCCATGATTATATGTAAGTCACAAAGACCTTATTATAAAGGTGATGTGTTTGTATAATACAAGAGCTACGTGTACATGTGTTTGAAAACAAATCATAGAAGTGAGAGATAGTCAGTTTTGAAGTACTCCTTGTCCTGTAAATGTACTACTGTTCATGTAATTACATGTGTACAGGTATTGTGTTTCACTAATTTTTAGTTTAAATGTGGTCATGGAATATTGCCGACATAAATTCTGTGTTGGGTCATCAACATGTGAGTGTCGTCTTCGAATTTACATCCATTCTGAGAATTGAATTCCAAGGGAAATTGCGAGGTGTTTTAGACCAACATCAGGGGGAGCAAGAGGTTAAAACGTGCCCATGACTCTCACAAATGCCATTGTGTGGCCTGATGTTGATGGACAACCATTAGCTTTTTAACCCTCCTTTGGTTTTACAGCACAAATGTGCACAAATGCCCACAGTCACTGGTGAGCATGTATTTTCTATATGGAACTCAAACATGCACAGGTTCAGTGTGTACTCTGTAGGTTGCCGGCACAAAATGTCCCAGGGTCTTTTGAGCAGTCCTCTTCATTGCATTTGGTTTCCTGCACAATTCTGCACATGAAACAGTGATGCTCAGTTGTTGGGCAGCACAAAAGTGCAATCTGATATTCCTCTTAGGGACTGTTGGTACAATGCACAACACAACACAGCCGTGCTTCCTTGAGGTGTTTACCAAGTGACCCAAAGAGTGACTTCAGCATAGGAGGGTTAAAGTGCTAATGAAACAATTCTGGATGAACTTGCTGTGAGGTTAGTGCTGAACGGATGTTCCCTACCTTACTTTGAGTAAGCAGAATCTCTGTATGAATTTTATTACCGGGCTGATTAATTATGAAATTCCCGACTTCTGAAGGGGGAACTCTCTGGTAGACCAAAGTATGTGCATGTACTTGGGAGTTGAATCCAATTTCATGCCTATTGTTAAGTTGATTTGTATGTTTGTTTTGTAAAGCATTTTGAAATTGTACAGTAGTTCATGTCTTCAGCTTTGAGCTAATGCCACAAAATTAGTTCTCTTGCAAAGGTATTTGAAATACCGTAATAATTTCAAATACCTTGAAACATGGAATCCTTAGACATCAAACCTACAGCCAAGATCCTAAGACATGTTGCTGAGGTGATGTATGGTGATAAGTATGCTCAGCTTCGGATTTGGTTGAACTTATCTTGGGAAATACTCTGGACTCTTAGGGGTGAAAGCCATTTTGGCCACTCTTTTCAGGGAGGTGCAGTGATGAGTCAACAACATGCAGGACATAATGTAACTCTGTAATTGTGACAAATCACCTGGGAGCAAATGGTCAATGTTTTAGAACTGTGCCTTTTGAAAGGAAAACAGTGACGTGTTAATGTACATTGTACCCGGTGGGACCATGTCCTCATTTCCCTCTTATTGTTGGGTTGACTTGTCAGTAGTATAAAAGTGATGGTCAGTCTCATTCTGGAATCTTAAAAGTATACAAATGCACTGCAATGAAACAGATGTCACTGGAAGATAATGTATTTAACATTATTGCCAGGAAGGTGAGGTGTATAAAAAGAATTTGTAGTCGTTTTGAATTACAGCATTTGTGAAAAAACCTCAGATGTCACACAATACAGTTCATCTCCTAACATGCCTACTAATGTTACAATGATTCATTTCAGCAGACCGTTTAATCTTACATGCTGATGTATCTTCATGATGCAGTTCTCTGGAATAGTTCAGTAATACATGTATTTACATAAACTGCACTTCATCAAAATTAAAGTTCCTTTGTTTCTTATAGATGGGGCAGTAGATCCATCATGGTTTTGTAACGTAAAATTAACATAACATAAATTGCTATTGAATTGTGAACTTTTTGTGAATAGTCTATTGACCTCAGTTCTGTTATATGAATTTGTTTTGTATTTTAATAGATTCTCAAGGATCACTAGAAATAAATCATACAAAATGATCACAGTGTACTGTTCCTTTTTATTATTAAACTGAATTCCTCTTTTGAGGAGGTTGTAAAAAGAAGTACATGTACATTAAAACAATATTTGACATTTTGAAACCGGTGAACAAGTACATTTACAACAGGAATTTTCTCGACACAAACTGTAGAGGCTAGCTGATGCAGGCTGCTTTGCACAAACTGTAGAGGCTAGCTGATACAGGCTGCTTCGCACAAACTGTAGAGGCTAGCTGATACAGGCTGATTT